GATCAAGATCAAACAAATTCTATACAACGAAAGGAAAAGGCGACCACACAAAAGGCCACAATTGTAGGTCAATCTTGCCATTTGGCCTTTTTGAATTGTTGCAAACATTATGGTATCGCTCCCCAATTCTGAAATCTAATGAGGAAGTGTCATTCGGACACATTAAATGAAATACTTTATCACGCCTCCATTAAGAAATTAGAGGAAAGTTACGAGAATGAGAGGCGTAAGCTATTTAAATTCATAGATCTTAAGTCTAGATCAAGGAAGGATCTAGGTAGGGTTCTCACTTTGGATGTTTTTCAAAAACTCCAGAGCATAACCGACCAGAAGTCATAGAGTGTTAGGGATCTGATAATTAAGCGGATTGACAAGAAATCGCTGAGCTATGGGATAATAAGACAGCACAGGATCAAGCCAACCCAGGCAAATTTTGATGGTTCTCTATTGAAGGCATCAACTGCTACAGTTGACGATAGGACTAAGTTTGCAAACTTATTTTTGTCTACAGATCTCGGAAAGAAGAGGTTACATTTTTCACTAGGTAACGAAAGAAACTGATATCCTGGTGAAAGTTGTCAACATAACGGATAAATATTCAGAAGAGACAAGTCGGGAGATGAAACTGGAAATAATCCTACGGATCATGACACATCTAGAACCAATACACAGGAGCAGATTGGCTGGTATTTGGGAAAACCAACATTACAGAAAAATGATCAAATAGTTTTTCTGGCGGATAAGGGAAGAGCGACAGTTGTAATGGACAAGAAACAATACACGGAGAAAATAGAAAGTATCTTTGGCGACCGGAACACTTATCAAATACTAAGCAAGGATCCAACCACGAAGATCAACGGGACACTGAATAATATGCTCATAGAAATGTATAATAATGAGGAAATTGACAAATGGATGATTAAATATTAAATCAAAAATGACGCAACACCACCGACAGCCTACAAACTACCAAAGAAACACAAGAAAGGGAATCCGCTAAGACTAATTGTCAACAAAAGCATAGAGCAATACACAAACTAGCGAAATCAATTTGCTTAAAGCTCAATAAAGTAAATAACAGACTATCGAATAGCGTCAAGAATTCATATGAATTTTCTTAAAGGATCCAGAACATTGGTTTAGTGACTTCAGAACTGTTAATGAATTTCGATGTACAATCCATGTACCAGGCGGTAAGCACCTTGCTAGAGATATTGGAGCGCGAAGAAGATATCCTGGAGGCAGAACGGATACAGAAGTCGTTAGTACGGCAGTATCTACTAGCAAATATTCGGTATACCGATGTGATCTCCACTCTCACTTCTTTTGGCAAATGTGATCATGGACAAGTTGGAAAGGGAATTCGAGAAGTCCCGACTGCGACCAAGAGTGTTCATACGATACTTGGATGACCACTTTGCACTTTGGTCAAATTGTGGGGAGAATTAAATAGATTCCTCAATTTCATTAACCAACTTGATGAAAGAATTAACTTCTCAATGGAGGTGGAAGATGATAAACGACTACCCTTCCTAGATATTAAAGTCATGCGCTCTAAAGCGACATTCATGAGGAGACTATACAGAAAAAATTCATATGCAGGAATAATCCCTAATTTGCAGTCTCACCATAATTAACAACTAAAGATTGGAATAGTGAGGGGTTTGATCATCAGAAGCTTGTGACTCACAAACAGTGAGTTCTGGGACGAGAAGTTGGACAAACTGACACGAATTTGCCTTAGTAACGGATACCCCAGAGAATTTATAGAAAGAGGGCAGATTTCAACTCGGATTTTATGAAAATCAGATCAGGAATCAGGAGGACAACCAGAAGTGGATTTGCCTGCCATCAATTGCAACCGTTACTAAGGAAATGGAATATTAAGGTGATAACAAAGGATAATAAAACACTTTTTACTAGTCTGCCGAAGCAAAACGAGAATACTGACAAACTTGAATGCTCGGGAGTTTATTGCATCAAATGCGACAACTGTGAGCTGAAGTATATTGATGAAACATGAAGAAAATTCGGCCTAAGAACCAAGAAACATCAAAGACTGTGCAGGAATAAGGACACAGAAAGATCCGAAATAGTGGAACACATTGCACGAACGGGGCACGAAATCGACTGGAAATCGACAGAAATGTTGGCTGTAATAGGTGAAAATACGAGAAAATATAAGATCCGAGATGCCATCGAAATACTGACCAAGAGA